ACCTTTTTGCCTTATGGTGCAGTAATTTCGCCGTTGTCATTTGCTTTGTCTTTTTGTGAATTACTTTACTCTGCTAAAGTTAATTCCATCAAGTGTGCTGATGGCTTGTCGGTTTCCGTGCCAATTATATCTCATTGCTCTCGACTGAATAGTTTCTTATCTAAAATTGACCAGTGGTCTTTCTAGAACGGTATCAAGATAAGCCTTTCTAAAGTTAGAGCCGAATAAAACTTGTGTAGATTTGTTCGGTTTCATGATGTATTGATGATGTTACTGCCTCAAGCAAATCGACCTTTACTTATCTTGTATTGGGCTCTTCCTCTGATCCTTGTTGTTCATCTCATATCTTGTTGGCCTCCAAGAAAATACCACGTCCAATACATTAAATAAGGAAGCTGGAACTCTGTCGCATTACTCAGCCTCTACCTTTGCAGTTTATTAATTGGTCTATTCCGCCTATTTTTCTCTATTATTCCTTATTGATCCTTCCTGGTTCATTAAAAAAGTCCATATTATATTGCATAGAACTTCAAAGGCTGTCAGTAGGTTAAGTACCGTGTATCTAACCCAACTGAATAACACTGTAGTTGACAGAAACAAACTGAAGCAGACAACTAGTTACAGTCATTTTACTACCCACTTTATTCACACCTCTCTCCTTTTTCTTCTCAAGGATGACAAGAAGAAATTACATAAGACTGTACGCTTCTACAGCTAAGTATAATAATTCAGCTGTGCCTAATCTAGAATGAATATTGTGTGAGGAAAAAAGTGTCAGAACAGAACTTACTTGTAGGCTTTGTAATAGTAATTAATCAGTTTTTCCACTAGCTTTTTTACTTTAGCTAGTAGTGCGTAACTTACTCTGCCACCGAAATTATTTCCATAAATTAAATTGCTATAATTAATACTATTCGAAATATAAAGAGGTATGCTTTTGTAGTGATATTGCATGCTGAAAATTCCAAATTGTGTCAAAAATTGTTTGGAATAAAGTGGTTATTATTATCATTAGATTCGTCTGGATTTACAATAAGTGCACAATTGATTAACCAGTATTCGCGGTGATGAGTTACATTTTCTAGTCGTGAAAAACTCTTAGAATAATAGAATTGCCACCACTGTGCACAGTAGAACAGTATCATGCTTGAGATGGAGGCTAAAGCATCTAAGCTTCATTGTCTGTAAGATCATGAGTTTCCTTTTCTAACGTATCCCGAACAAGCACTAAATAACTGTGCAATGCTTCTTATTTTGAAATAGTTTCGCAGTTGATTTTAATTTATAATGAATACAGTTTTTTACATTTGTATTTTTGTACACACATAATAAAGACTCAAGAAATGAAGTGCAGTTTTCAGAATTAGAACCAAGAAACAGATTTTTCTAAATGTCTTAGGTAGATAACTTATCCAGTTGGAATTTATGTTATATTTTGTCGACAAAGCAAAACTTTTTAAATACAGATAATTAATTTTAAGGGAAGGGGAAATAAGTTTAACGGTTTCCAAGATGAAAAAGTTTATAAATGAATGAATTTATCTGACCTACATTTAATTACATTACCGTTAAACAAACTATGTAAGGTAAGAAGTAATCAATTTTCATCATTAATTCTAGTATGCATAATTATTTATTCCTATTGATCTGTCCTCATGTGACCCAGAATAGATGAACTCCCTCAATTTTGTGAATGATCCTGTTAACACTTCAACAAAGCAACAAACAGTTTCTTTTCTCTCCTTCAAATGCTGTTAATTTCCTAAATACTCTACTTTATATAAAGATGCATATATCAGCAAAATAAGTTAGTATCTTGTTCTCCAGAGTAGTAAAAAGTATTATTTGATTTTATCTGAAATTAGACATACTGTTCGTAAAACAAACAATCTCCTATTTCAGTTTCAACAAAAAAATTCTCTTTGTTGTAGAATAAATTAAATTTTAGGCTTATTTCTATTATTCAGTCCTCTAACATTCTGAAGTTTAGTGTTCTGCTTTGCATTGGATGATTAAGACTTGTGTAGATAAATATAGGTCATGCATGCATGTACCAGTTGACTGTTATCATATGTTCTGTTTTCCATTCATAATTTATGAATGTATATATATATATATATATATATATATATATATCGGGAACGCCTACAGATCCTTTTACTGTTTCTGTGAAAGAATAAAGGACTCATGGCTCTTTCTTAGTTAGTTAGTAATAATAATAATAACGATAATCGCTGTTGTTTTTATTGTCACTGTTGCTGTTAAAGTGACTCTAAAGTCCACCCTTATAAATACTGAAATAAAAATCTAGGTATTCTCATACTACGGGAAAATTACCTTTACAGCCACTGCAATAGCTCATAAGTTAGCCTTTACAGTTACACCCACTGTTACTGTCTCTGCATGGGAATACATTACGAATTTAATACGCCTTGTATAAGTCAACAGAGAATATACTGAAGTGCAATAGTGACATGAGTTTTTAAGGTATAGAAACTGTTTCTAAGTGGTGACTAGGGTTCATTAAGTTAAGTATAAAAACTCTGACCAAAAGATTATGGATTCGAAGCCCGTTTTAAGTACAAAGTTTTGAGCAAGCAGATTGTTTCATAACCCTCCTGCAACAAAACTGACTTGGTCCACAGTGGTGGAACTTGCACGCTTACTAAGGGTTACAAATATGTTAAGCCGTCATACGAAGGACGTTTTGTAAACAGTCACCATCAGGCATAGAGCGGAAGTGAAACCAGGTAGTATCTCGAAATTAAAAAATAGTCATTCATCTAAGCAGTTTAATCAAAGCTGATACATCCAAGGGTGCTCTTAACAAAGCAGTGATATCCCATTAATGAAACTACCGTCATAGTGCAAGAAGTAAACGGCAGCCCTTTTGTCTTGGTGTCCTATTCGCAAAGTAAACACAGCACAAAGGAATAAATGACAAAGCGGTACATAATGACTTGTAATAGGCCCACACCTAAAACCATTGAGAAACTTTGTGATACTTACCATAGACTTCAGGTCTTTATAGGTTTTTATTTCGTTGAAACAGTTACTCTAATGTGCTCCGGAGTGTGAAGCTATGAACATCCGAAAGTTATGTCTATGCATTTTAGGTAACAAGTAGAGTTCATTCTAGTGAGGATTGAGAAAACTCTTTAATCGAGCCTGTGAATGGTCATCGATCTTCGATATTCGACCTTCAGTAAAGATATTCTATTTTGTGATTCTTCACCACCTATATCATCAGACACCGTAAAAAAACAAACATTTTGAACTAGCAGAATTCAAGAAATTTTGGTATTTTGAAAATTTCTCTTAAAAGTTTTATTTACCATACCTCTGAAAATAAAGAGTGAAATGAAATGCAGATGAAGTTGTTGTTTGATGCTTGTAATTTCCTGCTGTTATACAGGGTTGAATTGTTCGACCTGTCCTAGCAGACGAGCTTCTATATGGATACCTTAATACTGTCGGACATTTATCATACAGTTACATAAATAATGGCTGTCTTTCCCTAGTGGCCTAGGGGATAACACTTTGACGTATAAATCGAATGGCTCTGAGTAAAAGTTTCAGTAGAAACATTACTTATTAGGATGGAGGTATATCCAGCTGACAAGTCTCAAACACGATGGAACGTACGCCTTGGGTTCCACTCCAAGTCACCAAGTTGAATACAGCAGATGAATTTATTGTAGCTTTGAATACAGATTTCAGGATATACTTCAGACATGAGTCTAATAACTGATTCCTTATAGTTCTTGTTGAGTTAAATTATCAAACAGTTACTTGTTCTGGAAAATTGAATACCTTAAGAACTAAATTACATACCTATTTCTTTTTACGTGAGTAATTTCGTTTGTACACAAATTCGTTACTGAGAAGTGAACAATTCCATTTTGTCTTGCGATTTATACTGAACAAGTTCTTTGGATCATTTATTCAACTTTGCCATTTGGTTAGCTAATTCACCAATGCAGATTAGTGAATTTAGTGCCAAATGATTGCCAGTCAGTAACCTAATGTGGGTTTGAGTTGATTTACTTCACAGTTACCACCATTCATTGTGTCTTTAACTGGAGAGTGATGGATATAGTGACATGTTAGGACTGGCTAACATTTACTTCATATAGAAGATTGAATGTATTTAAATAGTCACTTACTAGGGTTCATTTTTGGGAATTTTCAAGACTGTAAATATTACAGAAGACAATGTGTACTTTTTGATGAGACTAGTGTCATCTTCCTAATGTACAAGTAACACACTAACTGACAGTCGCTAAAAATCAGTCACAAAAGCACCTCCCCATCCTTTATTATACTTCAATAAAATCATCAGTCTTGACACCACTAAGAAAAGCCATACAATATAGGTGATTCACAAAATTCTTGTCTCTTCTTTCCATGAATAGCATATTTATGTTGTGAGTTTTACCGGCCTACATATCTCCTTTCTATATTTTACTACTTTATTGATAAATTAGTCATGAGGTGAAATGATTTGCAAAGCTAATGAGTACCACTTGATCTTTGGCTTTAGTTGAGGAATATTTGGTAGCAGGTAACGTCAAACCTCCCTGTGATTCATTCAGAAGCTTTTGAACTTTGAGATGCACTAGCTGGCATTCAAATATCCGACTATATTTTGCTATGAACATTCTTGAACCTTCACAGCTAGTTTCAAAATGTAAAACTAACAGAAAGAATTTCGAGTATACTCCCAAACAAGTGAGGCACAAACTTTTCTTTTAAGCCATATGAATACTATGCACAAGATGGAAATAAAATGGTAGTAACATACCATAAATCTAATGTTTTGGGACCAAAGAGCACCAAACTTACCTTAGGTACTGTCTCGATTAATTCTCGAACTTTGTGTATGATTACACTAACTTACTTTCACATCTGACCTCTTATGTTTATTGTTTGTTCTTTAGTTTGTTTAAAAGTTTACTGACGATTCATTTATCTCTATAAATTTTGATTTTTGTTTTCAGGTTGCAGATGCTGAAGATGAAATAGAATTGAAAGAAGTTCTCAAGAAGTTTCGTCAATCCCTTAGAAATGCAATTAACCCGAGAAACTTGAACAAATTCATTATGTCATTCATGTCGTAAGGAGTTAAACTTGTTTTACTTCTTCTACACTTTCTGGTAACACTGTTGTCACTATCCATTAAGCAGATAAAGTAATAGTATACTATGCATATGGGTCAGGTAGTAATTTAGAGTGCTGTTTTAGTGGCCTGGATATTACCTAACTGCGCATTGCGATTTCACAGCTACTAAATATCAGGGAAACCTTTTATATATTAGACAGTTATTCCTGGATATTTGCTGAAGTTACACAGACGAATAATTATTTTAAAGTGAGAAAAATTCATACCTTCCTTCTCTTTTACCGTCTTTTAGCTACATCACTTTTCCACTAAATCATTAATACTGTCTCAAATAGTTACCTAGACGTTTAAGCCTATTCGTGTTTTGATGTAGTTCGTCTGTAATATAATTTCCAAAACAAAGTTTTCATTAACGGCATAATATACTGTTGTTTAACTGAATAAATTTTAGCTGACTTGTTTAGATAGCCTCTCGGTGATCTGTAGGGGGCAGGTATATCCCGCTGACCTGACCCAAACAGGACGAAATGCAAATCCTGCATTTCGTTTTTTGCCACTATCCATTATCCATATAAAACTGAAACATTGGTAATATCAAGACATCTGCTCAAGAGCCCATATGTCAATAGAAATCCATCAGATTTGGTTTAATCAATGAAGGAATAATACAAGGAAAACATTAGGCTAAAAAAGTATCTTGTGTTACTTCCAATATTTCAACTTCTCGTACCATTTATTCACCAAGATTATATCGTTCTTACAAGGTTTTTAGTGCTATATATATATATATATCCATTAGCTCTGTTAAAAATCCTGTTTTCAGTAGTGGATATCACTTTTCGCATCCATTTGTCTGCATGCTTCAGCGTTGATCTGTGCCATTCTAGGTGTTTACTGTCCACTTCCGTTTAAAAAATTCAGGTAGCAGCCGTTGTAGCTCATTTCAGATATGAATGACATCATAAGCAAATTACGAAAGTGATTTTCAGGTGTTACAAAGTATTCTTTGAAACTAAACAGCCATTTCCTTGAAATTTTCAGGTCATCGACAACAAATATTTGATCAAGCCCAAGTCGAATGTGTTTTCTAATTTAAACCATACTTATTGCAGGGTGAAAAAAGCGTAACTTGTACCAAACTATGAAAAACATCAGTTGTAGATGTAACGGAAAACAAAGTAAATGATTGTACCTTGGTATGTTAGTCTTTTTACAAAAACATATGGTAGCAAAGACAATCTCCCTAAATGATTTCCACTTCCTTGTATTTGAATGTCTACAGTTTAATAATGGAAAACTATGATCGTAATTTAACACGCCTTTCGAATACTATTGAACAGAAATAATAAAACCTTATGCTGCAGTTCATCACAACAGATATTTATGTTGTAAATTGAATCAGAAGCCCCTAACTAACTGAAAAGTTTATTTATAAACTAAATTTACTTAAATACAAGAGTATGACTTCTTTGTAAAGTTGTTTGCTCTGTGAAACGGTTTTTTACATGTGCCAACTTCGGTTGTTTTGTTGTCATAGATGAAGTGGGTTTAGGATTATTGATGGTGGTGCGGAATACTTATGACTTAGGTGGATAATCTTGGTTGTGTTGGAGTGGCTTTAAAAGCCATCCCAGCAACTGTTGAAATAACCAATGAGATTTCAAAACTTCGGCTGGGAGGTTAGTTTTTCATAAAATAGCAAAACGTATTTGGTTACCTCAATAGTTACTAGGTTGGCCTCTAAAGTCACTCTTGTGTTGTGCTTTCAGAGCCGGGTAGCCTAATTTGAAAACTATAAATTATTTCTTCCATATGATCAATAATCAACATAAGAAGGTAACTTGTTTAACTTCTTGTATAGAAGCTTATTAGAAAAATAGGCTTATATGACAATCATATCTTTCAATAGTTTAAAACTTTATTTTCTTTAAAGGCAGGTAAGTTGAATTTACAAGAATTAATATGATGTAACAATTTCATTGCTTAGTAGTAACAGCAATTAATATCGTAAAAGTTTGCCTAGTTTAAGAGGCCGATATAAATAAATTGTCAGGGATAAGTTATTTGTATTCATTAGAGAAATGGAGTTTTTTCAGTCTATGCACACTAAGGAAACACAAAGGAAGGAAGCGAAACATATTTTTCTAAGTGATGGATTTTATCAACAGCTTAATCACAGTTTGGAATTAAGATACCTTTTGGAAAGATTTGGTAAAACACTGAACTTCCTAGATCAAATTAACTTTGCATGAACTCGCCCACATACAAAGACTTCTATGAGCATTGATTTCCCCTTCAGTTGTAATTTAAGTTTATCTTAGTTTGTTCACTGGATATATCACACAGTAAAACAGTAGTGTTTAGTGGATGGCGTTTAGGGAATAATTTATCGTCCCTAGTAATATCAAGGGAACTTCATGTCTGAAAGCTGTGAAGTTATCTTGATATGAATGTGAACAATGAATTGTGGACGAAATGTCATTCGATAAATAATACGGTTTCACTTAGTGATACACCTAGTAGATCAACTGAAATGGTATATATGTATATGTATAAATTTCTGTTGTTAGATTTTCTTAATTAGCTAATAGGAAGTTCTCAACTTTGGTCTCATCCTTTTTATCACTTATGGGCGCAGACTTTCAAAATTTAGCCCTCTCACTAGTAAGGTTAGAGACTACCACTAGGATATTTATGTCATAGCTGACCTCCTGCAAATTTCGAGTATGAACACGACAACAACTTGATAGCAACACTGGTTGCGATCGCGTAACTAATTCATGTATATATATGTATATGCATATATATATATGAAAGGGGATGACGTAACTGCTTGTTTACACTTAGCGAGTTAGAAGTTGCTCGTATACGTCAACCTATGTCAAAAAATAATAATTTAATCCTGTTACTTAATAGAAATTCCCAGTTAATATACTCGTTAGTAAAGTGGACATAGAAAACTCACTTTTTTCATAGGTTGTTTAACTAGGTCGTGATATCAAGGTAATAATATATGCACTCTATTTGTCATGAAGTGCTGAATCTGTGTATCATATAGATTTCTTTTTACAAACGACCTGAAGAGCAATAAGCACAAATGAAAACAAATAACCATTCACGTTTTCCTTCGATTTTAAATTTACCTCTTATCTAGATATCACTGATATTTTCAAGAGTATTTACTTCACATTTCATCTTTAGCAGACGCTTTCATGCCACTGAATAAGAATATTTATGCTGAATGGGTTAAGGTCAAGCATAATTTACTTTCAGTCTTGTCTCTTATCAGATTTTCATTGAAATCCATTAAGCTAATATATTTTGTACTCATTCAATTATGGTGATTTTGACAGTTGCATAAACTTAAATCCAGTTTTCAGTGCAAACAGCAGTTGATTAATGTTGTAAAATGTGCCAATTGTAAATTGACACTTTTCTAAGATGATTTCTTCGATGCTAGATTCAGTTGTACTGAGAAAGCACTGACTTGTATCTCAGTTCATTCATGTAACTTGTAAAATGAATTGTTGATATTTAATTAAATTGATAATTACTTATTTAACGACCATTTAATAAGATTTTTATAACTATATTTATATGAAATACTATTAGAAAATAAAGTTATGTTGTTTTTATATACATATATCAAAAGTATGTCCGCTAAATGATACACGATAATACGCTTTATATTAATGAATTTCAAACCACTTCAATATATTCAGTGACAGATGGTATAAGGTCAATATTAAACATCATCATAATTATCCTTATGTTGTTTATCCTCATCAGTTTCAAAGTGTTTAAAGTTCTATCTTATCTATTTATATTCCATAATCGACATTTGTTTATGGGTCTTCTTTATTTTCTATAAAATGTTCACTACCGTTTGATTTGATTTGTCGGTTATCTTTTTTTTTAATCTGTATTCATCTCATCTGAAAATCACTATTTTCGATCTGTTACAACAGTTTTGTTTGAATATAATATTAATATTATCCCTAACAGCGCACAATATAAATACATTCACTACGTATACACATATATATATATATATGTATAAATACAATAATGCCAATAACTTTTGGTTGATAAATTTGAATCCGGTTTTGTTAAACATATATGTAGTAAAACATAAAGTGTTTATCTGTTCTGAATTTGACCCATTAACAATTTTCATACTCCTCGAAAATTTAATCACTCTAGATATTCCCATTATAAGTTTTTTCCAAGTAACTTGGATGAGACCTTCTGTTCATGATAGATATATAACTGAGTACATAAAAGGGTGTTTCTTTGTTAACAATTGACGTTTCTCAAACAGAATTTCGAGTGATAGTTTTTAAAATTGTTCGAACAGTATTTATGACTGAGTTTTTAACAATCATCACTTAAGAACAGCACTACTTATTGCTTCATAAATATTCACTATGCTTGTGTGTGTATTGATACATGGAAGTGAGCATAATTCGTGTAAGAAGAGAACTTTGTCACTTACTCCATATTAGATCAGTTTACCAAGTATAGCATACGCTACACAATGTAGTAAGGAATAACTATCCCCTGCGTTACATATCATATATACTGTTCAAGCAAGTACATTTGAGTTATTACTATTGTCCCTTTTCATTTTAAACATAAAGTTTTTCAATAGTTTCATCTTAGCTGAGGGACTTTCAGTATTTTACTTATGTCAAAGATGCATGATCCAAATCGATTCTCTGATTTTTTCTTCTCTTCGAATTTTTTCAGTTATATACACATATTGTGTAACATTCTAGATTACTTGTTCCAAATATCTCTTGACTGTTTGATGCTAAAGATTATATTAGCTAAGAGATTTTATCAAATGCTAAAGTAAATACAAAATATCTTAGTAAAAAAGACAAATAATACCAACTTAAGCAATAAACACGTTAGATTGTATGGTAGCTACTCAAAAGTTAAACGTAGAACCACCAAGTAAATTTATTCATAATCATGCCATTTTAAACGTTAGAACCTGTGCAGTATACTCAACTCAGATTCAAAGACTTATAATGTGTATAGTCAATCCTTAAATTTGCTTTCGTGAAAAGCTTTTCCTTCTTTTGGTATGTTCCGGTTTATTAATTTAAGAGTCTAAGAAGCTAAGTGAGCATTCAGAATCAGTTTTGTTTCGCTACAACCGATTCATTCCTTAATTGTATCATACAATTTGAACTTCACACGATATTAGAACAATCCAGTAGGAGTTTGATTCTACTCATAGACTTACTGTATGCAATCAATCAGTCATTGAACAAACTCTTTCGGAAACTGCAGATACACCATCTCAGTTTCTTCCTATGTCGATTTCATTGTTACTACTCTTATTTATTATATATCATTGGATACATCAAAATGAAGTATGGGGCCAATAATTAACTAAAATAGATAACCTAATCCCAAGTGAAATGGAATCGTCTTTTTGAGTCTTAGATTTAACTCCAGTAAGATTAATTTATTATTTACACCAGAAGAAAGATCTGTCGACTGGAAAATAGTAAATAAATACACCATGTTGTACCTGTCATGTCAGATAATCTACTCAAAAGATTATTTAGATATTTTTTTGCATATTCTGAAAACATCTTGGTATTTTCCTCATCTGCATCTTGTTCAACCAACTTTTGCATTGGCTACTCCTGATCTTGAAGAAGTTTAGTAACTCTGTATGAAATTCCACGGTGAAGTTTGAAAGAAATTACAAAATACTAATTATTAGTCTTCTCTTTTAGTAGCCTCCATAAGTTTTAATATGCTTTTATTCATCACAGTATATCAATACGTTTAAAGTTGATTTTTGTAGACTTCGGAATTTATTAGGTTCTAGTTAGCTTTTGATAAGAAAAAAATAACACATATTTCATCAATAAAATGAGGAAGTGAAGACGGCAACTCTATCCATTTGTCATCATCCTACAAATTCAATTTTGGTATTATCAACATGGCGTTATGGCTTATGAAAATGTAGTTGTTACAAAACAATTAAGTTATTTCAACTATAAGTTAATTAAATAATCTATTTCTTAATTTTAGACGCACAAAAATCTTAGAAAATGTCGATCAGATAAGGTGAGAATGTTTATTAGAACTGTGAATTTATTCGACATCGGTTATTCTTTTACAGACTTTGTATTATGCCGAGTTTATTTGTATGTCTATCAAATTCTTACGCTACCCCTTGATACCCTATAAACAACTCCTAATGAATAAACGATACCCCCATTTGACCCCAGTGACGCAGATGCTAGTGATACACAGGGCATGTTTATCTAACACTTCAAACCTTGGTCTTTTGAGTTTGTTACTCAAAAACTGATCGAGTTGAATAGATATATCTCAAGATACTGCTATTCTGTTACAACCAAAATAATCTTCCATAAGGTATTTAACCAACCATCTGATTTTTTTAAATTTGACATAGCATACAATAATGCAATCTCAGTTGATAGGTGACATTTTGTGCACAGTTTTTGTCCATTATAACATCAACGTGATCAAATGATGTTCATACTTGGATCTTATAATTTAAATATTCCATACCTGCAATCTAAGTATGAAATGATTTCGGGTCCAGTCAATGAAAAGCTTTACCCTACATTGTGACTACAGGCAAAGACTATGTTCAAAAGTTCCTACAGTTAGTACTACTATTTCATCATATTCCCTATCAAGTGGACGAGACTAGGATCAAAACGTAGCCTAACTCAAAACGAAAGATATACTGCTATAAATGTCTGCTTGTATATATGCTAATCATTCACCGCCAAATTATTAACGCATATCTGCTCATGCTCAACTTACGCAGAACTTGTTCTTCTTCAGATCCAAACTATAAAAAAATCTAAATATTATTTTCTAGTGAAAACTGTAAAACCTGATGTTTATTTCATCAACAAAAATGACTGACATTTGTGTTTACTGCTTATCAGGTGCTCATTTTGGTAACAGTTTGTAGAAATATTCTAAAACAGATATCACCTCCGGTCCCCCGAAAAAATTACTAGGATCTTTGAAATTCTGTGATGATTTTCAGTAACCTTTGTTAATACAGTTACTCACTACACAGTTTGACTCCTGAAAAATTATTCATAACTGACTTCTTTACTTACTCAAAAACAAAAGTTAGATACTATTTGTTAGCTGTAAGCATGAATAGTAGGAGGTGGTCGGTACTTTCTAATTTGTTAGTATACCACAGTTACATTTTAGGACTTGCCTGAAAAACGGTAATGATGATCATTTTGATGTTAACAGACAAGACTATCTCTGTATTTATGTTGACAATTTCGTATTTGTATGTATTGAAAATCATCCAAAATTGAATCGATAAATAATATGAGGAAGTGTTCTGTAACTTATCCTTGGTGACTGAAGTAAAATTAACATCTAGTCAGGAACTGTGTCTCACAGATCAGTTGGTAGAGCACCAAGCCAGCAACCTACAGGTCACTAGTTTGAATCCTACCTCAGCCTCAATTTTCGCTCCACCTTAAATCGTAACCCACTATCAACACCTAATAAAGTTATTTAGTTGTGTGTGAAGTGATGAATTCTCTGAACTCCCAACATAACACAAATATCAAAGCGCTGCTTTCTTTGTGAACGTTTCAATCATGATAATTAGAATTGCACTCTGATAATGTCTGGTGCTATCCAACATGATAACTCCATATTTGAATAATAATCTGCATATTTCTTAATATCTAATGGTGATCCTCACTGAAATTTAAGCCTAGAACTTATTGACTGAATCAGCGAGTAGTTTCTTTCATAACTGAATTTGAATGCAATCCAACAACATGCCACAGCATTTGTAGGGATAACCCAATAAAAGGCAAGTGAATTCAGTTCACTAAATAACTCAATAAAATACACTGAGCAACCACTTGCATTTACGTGCAGTAGACAAAGACCCATGCAAATTGCATGAAGGTTAATGAAACTAACTGGCTGCCAAAAACCTAAGTAAGTGGAGTGGGATTCGAGTGCCTAAACCAGTGAACCACACCTCCAGTCAGTGTACACAATTCATCCTCGATATCAATATAGGACTGGGCATTAAAATGTAATAGTCCAAGTTGCCACACCTCATATCAAATCATCAGTAACAAAGTAATAAAGCGAAAGATGAAGAAAAAAGGAAAATTGGTCTAAGGCAGTAGAAAGTAAAGAAGAAGTAGTAGGAATTAAAAAATGACGAGTTTAGTTTAACGATTAGGAATAATATCATGTATGGATACATCTGCGTCATTGACATCGATTCTAAGCTACGTCACCTGGAGTCTCCAACTACTGGTTTACGATGTCAGGTGGACTCGAACCAAGAAGTTATCAAATCCCTACATGGTTTAAGCCACCCCTAATGATCATGTTTTATTCTGTCTGCGCCAAGCCTCTTTCCAACGTGAACCTACTTCAGCTAATATTGCGTTATGATGTAGACGGTGACTAAGCATGCGTAATACATGTCTCAGATATCTCAGTCGATGGAAAATTCACAACCACAAATGTATACAATCTGAATTGCAATAAATGTCATTATCTGCTATTTCCGCTTAATTCTATTATGAATAAAAAAGACCAAGAAATACCTAACATGAGAAATTGCTAAACAAAGTATTTATTACTGAAAACTGTTAGCATCATTCTAGCTGCATCACGCAATGGAATAATCCCCTAGTTGAATAGAGCATTTTCCTCTGGTAAATTATTTCTTATACATTCATCTGTTCATTTTAAAGTCAAAAATAACCATTTAAATTAACTTGTATTTTTGTTACAACTTATTTCTTTCCAAAGCTGTATTTGTTTTTTGCAGATGTCCCGTCTTATTGTTCACTGGCACGTTAGCATCACATAATCATACAGTCTTTCGACTACACAATGCTCTACTTTCAGCTGTACGTAATGATCCTGATCTTCAAGGTAAAGTTGAGTTAATTCAAGTGGAAAATGTTGCGAATGTGTTGAGTGAACAGGTGAGAAACTTTGATGAATAAAAAGTCTAGTCCCTTTTTGTTCACGTATATGATGATTTTTTGAGTGACTTTAGGGTAGAGATATAGTTTAATGGCTTGATTACTTCACTTTTACTAAATACCTCCTAGATTAACACCCCGCCCTGCTTACATATGCCTGAAAAACTGGGTAATATCAAAAGCCGTAATACAATAAGTATATTCCATTTTTTAGTCCAGAAATCTGTTTCTTTTCTATTTCCTATAACAGCCATCTAGTAATTACTGAAGAAAAATACTGTTTTATTATCGACTGGAAAAGTAGTTGTTTCGTAAAACAAAGAAAACTAATTTGTGATTTCAGAAAAAGCTAGAACAACCTTTACAATTACTTGAACGTTTTAAATATATGAGTTTCAGTATGGTTTATATTGAAAAAAAGAATTGTCAGTTTAAAACAAAAAATTAAAGATCAAACATCTAACAAATATTTCTTTAAATCTATGAACACTATCATCACTGAGATATTCATCCTTTTGAAGATAAATGCTAATCCTTTATCAGCACAAGGTTCACGATTTTCTACAACTGTACCATAGAACAATAGGATCTTCAATAGTTCAGTTAATTATGAATGATGTCATCGCAAGAATTTATGATATAATTCTTTAATAATCCTATTTATCGACTACCGAACATTATTTAATAAACTCAGCTTGTTCTGTAGTAACACAGAGGTTGCTGGTTCTATTCATGTGGCAAGTGGAATTCTCCATCTTTTTGATTTGTACCCCTATTATTTTATTCAGTTGATAATGAGTAAAATAAATGATCTGAAAAGTGAGTGAGCAGTCAATTTTCACTGTATGAAATTGCACTGTATAACAACTTTTCCAGGCTGTTTAGATTCATGTGCTAAAATACGATTTGCGCATGGCATTTATAGTATATATATAGTATGTCATTTATTTGTCTTTAATTAAGAAACGCCAAATGGTATATGAACTTGTGACCCAGTTGGTTATGGAGATAAATGCATCATTCATCCACTCACAGATCTAAACGCCTGAGTGCAAATGTCCTAAACTGCCGTGAAATAAAAACTTCTGAAATCTGTTCCACATAAAAAATTTCACTATCTGAATATCAAAACAGATTGTCTCAGGTAGAAAGACAAATCAAAGTAGGGCCTGATGCAGAGGTCAACCATGTCTGCATGTTTCTTGGGTGATAGGTTGTTGCTTCGTTGGTTCGTCGCCAGGCCACAATTACTTGTTGCTTAATCCTATTATTCTGGCCATCTGGTCGATGTGCAGTATCGAGTGAGCGTAGGCTGCAGCTGTTCATGATGTATGTTTGTAGTTTGTTGGAAATGCTTTCCGTAACGCGCCAAGTCTCTCAACCATCACATAGAACCACTGACTGAGTTGACTGAATTAGTGTTGAAAATCCGGATCCCAATCACACATTATGCCGAGTACAGTTCAGTCCAGTGCAGTAGATCTCCTCACTGATTTCAGCCTAATGAACACCTATATTGCTTTTCCAATCTTGGCTTCAACATCCTCATCTGTGCCGCCGCAGCCGCTGCCACCACCACCTCCGCCTGTAGTTGAAACGATGCTAACTAGGCAGGTAGGTAGGTTAAAAAGACTACTTCCCTTGAGTTCCTCCCGTTCATGGTGGGTGATTGCAGCTTGTTGTTGATACTGTTGTTGGGTTGGTTGGGTATCTTCATCACCTCAGTCTTCTCTACGTTCACTTGAAGTCCCGTCTTCCTTAGCTGCCCTGTCTCTTCTGTCAACTTGTTGGTTTTTGCCTGTAGATCTTCGAGTTTGTGCGAAATTGGACATCATCACTGGCGAAATCCAAATCTTCTAGGGTCTTTTCATCGGTCAAGATGGCGTATGCTTATCTTCTCGCTCCTCACAGTTTATCACATGATCCAGTCCGCCACAATCAACTTAAGTTACCAGATATTTTTCAGCAGAATTCAACGAAGAAGTGGATAGTAATAGACTAACATCAAAGTAAATAAAAATGTGCAAAAAGAAAGTTGTGGTGACTGACTATCAACCTGTACTCAATACCTATATTCCTGGAGTATCTAGACGACACTGCTGTGTTAGGTGAAGACAGTGAAGACATTTAGTGTCCTCTGAATGGCATGATCAGAAACATAAGTATACCTATCATTCATTTTTCACCTACCTACTCTATGATGATACTCTGGATAGTCTGCACTTGATTCTAGTGTAAGGATATGAAATGAAAGGGTTGAAATCGCTGACCACTTCACTTCCATAGCTGGTTGTACCAACCCAAGTGAGTACTTACGTAAGCTCAGACTTGGGTTGGCGAGATATCCAACTACCTACCAGAGGAATAGCATACTGTGATATACTTCACTTTTTCTTATTATACGGCTGTTAGACACTGCCTGTAATAAAAGAAGTTATAAAGGACTTACGTGTTCCCATCATAAGTGTCCTCGTTGTATTGCCCTTGTATAGTGGGAACACTTTGTGAACAATGTTGAAGTTATGCCGAAGGTACTAGGTAAGATAAGTAAATCAGTCGACGAGTTTGTGAACCTTGACTGACTTAGGCGGCTTGGATATGTGTTGCATATACCAAGCTATTGTCTACCTCGAAAAGTAATGCTAGCCAAAGTAGGAATGTGTTGCTAGAAGTCTCAGGGTAGTCAGACCAAGACGTGGCACCAGTCCATGAGGTCTTTGACTTTTGGTTTGAGACTTATACGAAGGCGTAGATTACTTGGCTAGGGTCCTTTAGACAATAAAAATCAGTTGTTGGAGACTCTTGGTTACATGACTGAGAATTGGTAAGAATAGCGCCACATGTATAAAATCTTCGTCACCTTCAAATTCTTGAAAACTGGATTAACCCTTTATGTATCTTCTTCATTCTCAAACATATTTGTCTATCTTAATATATTTTTTTTTATCCACTTCTCCATCGGATGTTGTTATGAACTGTGACAACTGGAAACAATACACTTCTGTGTCAGGTTCTTCTTTGATTTGTCTCTCTGTCTCTATTTTAATCTTGAGAATTACATAAAACAAAAGATGGTATAGGAGTGTATAAAAATACACAATAATAATTAGTTAGTATTTTTTTACTAGTTTTCTGCATAAAAGTTTTAGTTTCAACCTGGCCAATGACCGAGATTGGCGGCATATTGATCATTGCGGATATTTAATTTGGAGTGAACATTCAACAAAGAATATATTGTAGATTAAAACAAAATTATATGGTTTCAACTGTTATAATAAGTCTGGTAAATAAAAAGAAAAATACTTTAATTGTCATTTTCGTTTTACGACTAAAGCAGTGTACATCCATGACGGGAAAATCTCAGACGTTAAGAAAAACGAAATCCTGATATCTCTCAACATTTTCCTTTCAGAATAGTTTTTAAACAATCTATGGTTTGTATTATTTATCATGAAGTCTCACTTTTAATAGATTAAATTGTCATTTAGCCAATGGATTCATCTAATCTAACCATAAGAACTGGAAGACCAATAAACAATGGTAGTTGTTATCAACTTCATTCCTTTTATTAATTATCATTGAACATGGTGATATTTCTCTCAAAATGGATTAAAGTCATATATTAATTGAAAGTCTTTCTACCCTTTCTTCATCATTCAATACCTCACTAATAATCAAGATTAATGACTAAAGTTTGTTAAACATACGAAATGCAAAGTAGAACAAGAAAGAGAGTAGAAATTATCTACAATAAAAGCTTTATATGATTCATTCGTATACTTATTATAAGATAGTATTCCCGGGGATCAACAAAACGAAACCGATATATCTGTCAAATACTAAGTGCTCAAGGCCAACTTAAGTTTATTGATCAAGTATCAAATGTAACTACTAGGCTAACTGACATGACAATATAGTGCTTTGTAGTTGGGCATTGAATATCAATTAACTGGAAACCTAATATCTAGAAATTACGCTGGTTGGAACTCGTTGATAGAATATCACTTAGTAAACAGGCGTGATTTGGGCTCGAATCACAGAAAGAATATCTGTTTCTTTATTACCTCAAATACGCGTTCTTGATAAGTATAGAAAGGCATAAAACCTAGATTCTAATCCTATTCCTTATTAACTGTTACTACTGAATACAAAGTAGCTTATTATGACATGTGATCTCACAGTACCTGTTCAAACTTAAGACAAATCAACAGACTACCCAAAGTTATTTGAGTAATGGCTTATACTCACACAAGCAATAATCGTCATTTGTTTGCACACATGTACCTTAAGTTTGCATATATGCATGCAAGTAGAGGGAATGTAACAAAATTAATAATCAGTAGATAACTCAATAAAGTTATTATGGAAAGAACTAAGTGTGAAAAACATCAATCTTCAATTTTTTCAAGTATATCCATAAAAATGAATTGCGTTTGCTGAGTATCTAATCTAGTGTTCTTTTTAACTAAGTTGGTCCTACTGGTCACGACTTCTGATTGGAACTTCGGGAATCACCTCTCAAAGTTAGCCACCAACGAGGACTAGATTAATTCATTTTGGAAGCTCGTGATGATTTCAGTGATATCAAGTTGGTATTCATCATAAACAGACATTAGCGCTTATTGGTAACTAGCTTCGAGAAGCAATTCTCTAAGTTCCAGTGATAAGTCGTGACCAATAGGGCCAACAAAGTAGAACATGAAGACAGGTACTCAACAATGGCACTGGTGTTCTTTTTCTACAGTAGATCATTATGAACTGATATTATTTAGTAAACAATTCAATATAACCCTTAGTTCTATATAGACAGTATGCTATAAACTATGCCTAGAAAAAAGGTCATACAGTTAATACTACTTAAGGTATCTGAAAGAGATTTGTGTGACCGCAGAGCCCATCGGACATCTGCTTGAGGCCTGTCAGACGCAGCCATCTGTGTATGCTTGTTTTGAACTTTTGTTGTTGTGGGGCCGAATGGTCGAAAAGAAACGACTAGTGAA